TGCTCAAGAAATATACAATTTCTTTTCATCACCTAAACATAGATGGGCAGTACTACTGCCATTCTTCAAAGATGATTCAAAAGTTCCGAAGTCATTGTCCAAGACTAGATAGGAAGCACATTCAATGGCAACAAATGCAATACTTGATGGATATGATGGAATAATATCTGCATTGCATCAGCCACATATCAATACTACAGAGAAAGGTGAAACAAGAAATCAAGACATAAATATTCTGAATAAAATGGAGGAGTTTGAATTTATGGTAATGTTATATTTGTGGAGTTACTTGCTGGATGGATTTCACAAGATTAGTCAATCATTGCAAGACCCACCCCCCAAAAAGTCTAGATGTATGCAGTAAAATGTATGCTTCACTTTCGGATTTTGTTAACCGTCCCATGGATATGTTCAATTATTTTGAAGAAAAAGCAAAGGAAAAATTGCCTGATGTTGATTACAAGAAAAGCAGATACAGAAGAAGGCATATCAATGGTGATCAAGATGATGCTTTACAGCTTTGTTAAGCCAAGTTCAGAATCAAAACATTTATACTTGTGATGGATGCATTAGAGACAAGTCTAGCACAGAGGGCCTCTGTACACAATGATGTTACAAAAACAGTTTTCATTCTTAAGAAAATTAGAAGCTACAAAAGAAGAGATTCGTGAAGGAGTTGATGCTTTATGCCAAATATATCCTGAAGATTGGACATGAATCTTGTAGAAGTCAAGCATTTTCATCAGAATGTTAAACATAGTCAAGCATATGCCTAACATACTGATAATACAAGTGATGCTGATACATCAATATCCATATAGGGTAATGTTTAATGATCATGTCCAAACAGCATTTCTTAATGCAGAAGCAATTTTGAGATTATTTCTTAATATGATGGTAGTAAATTGCTCTGGATGAAAATCTTTTTCTCAGCTGAAGAGGATAAAAAATTAATTTAGAATGACTCAAGATAAATTATGTTCCCTAAGCCTCGTGTGCATATAAAGTGAAAACTACGCAGTTTATCATTTGATGATGTCATCAGTGACTTTGCTCGGCAAAGGCAAGAAAGAAAATATTTTATTAATGAATTATATTAAATTCCTTAACCCGTATAACAAGTTTCAAGAGATTAGATAATAAGCCTTTCTAAATTGTGCCTTTTAAAAGGACTTTTGTTTCTTTTTACCAAAGTTTGCAATTTTAAGCTTGCTATGAATAAAAAATGATTTTAAGTTAAGGAATTATTATTTCACTACTTATATACTTCTTAATTGCATTTCAGTTTAACCCTCTAGGTATCCGAAAATCACACTTGGCACCGACATATAATATTTTGACTTATAAAGGGCCCCATATCTCAAATAGCTTAGTGCCTTATTAAGTCTAAATCCAACCTTGATTATAGATGAAAAAGGCATGTGCAGCATGAGTGTCACAATCATTTGTTTATCAATCAAAAACACAACCAAAAGAAGATTTTAAAATAGCATTAGGTGATATGTTACTGCAATGCGCATGACATTTCACACTGATTTGTTACTATTGAAGTAACACGGATCCACCATACCATAACTCAATCGAAACAGTGGACAGTGAGTTATTAAATTACATGAAAGAAAATAACTTTTGTCAGCTAAGAAGAAAGGCTCTGCTTTTAGAAATTTCCTATCACAGTCAATTACAATGAAAGCTATCAGATCTCCTTGTGACAATCACTATAAGACTTCAAAGAGTAGAGGAATAGAAAGCTAAAAAAGAAAGAACAAAGCTCTTGTTGACAGCATGCCAGTTAAGTTCCATTTTTATTTTAGGGGAGAATGGGATATTTATCTTCCCATGTTTACAGTGAGTTTAATTTTCATCATTTCCTAACTTTTTGAAAAAAAAAATTACCTTAGAATTTTACAGCTAGTTCTTTGTAGAAAGTAGGTTTTAGGAAAACTTTCAAAACTACAGTTGAAAGAAATCTGTTCAAAGAGTTAGCTTTCGATTGAGCCAATCCTTCTGATCTTGCTCCTTGTTCAGTTCTTCTCGCTATTTGCTTAAACCTATTTTTAATCGGTCCTGACTTTACTGTTTGCCCAATTCTTTCCACTCTTTGCTTCATCTCTACTAATCGCTCTTGACTCAACCCTCATTATGGAACTTTTTCATCAACCTTCCTGTTAGTGAGCGGAAAGTTATAAAAAAGAAGTGATTCATTTCAGTGAGCAAATTGTTCTGATATGATTCCACAAAAGAGCTGTTTTGTGCAGTAACACTCCAATGACAATTATGCCATAACAACATGACATTCTTGTTTACACTGCGACACCTTAAGGCCTTTAATGCAAGATGCCATGACAATTCACACAAATCCTTTATTACAGTAAGTTATAAATTTACAGATGCCTCAATGACATTTGTATCTTGAATTTACATACTGTGTTAATACTTTAAGGAAGGGATAATACTTCAGCAACTCACTCACGATTTTAAAAAAAAAAAAAAAAAAAACTAATTAACCTTCAGCGATTTTTATTTGATCACGGGTATACAACTTATAACTAACAGTCAAGCTGCTAACTATACAAGCAATGTTAGATAGTACTCTTAGCTGTGTTAGATAGTATATGATACACCAGCCATGCCAGATGCAAATTTGCCAAATAGCTTAGAATCCAAGAAAGATTTTGTAATAAATGGCTTGTGTTAAAGAGTCCAAGAAATGAATTAGCTGAGCAAGTGATTAATTATACAAGTCATGTAGATATATAATACGTAAGCAGTGTCACTTTACTATGCCATCTTTAACATTATTTACAATGATACTCCCAGCTCAAATCTAAATTTTTATTTTCAAGTCTCCAACTAAACTCTCCTGAAAAAAGCAATTTGAATCAAAACACGAGCAGTTTAATCCTAGTTTATGGAACACATGGGATTTGGCAACATTATTATGTGCAGTAAACGTGGTATTTATGATGAGCAGTAAAGGAGTCATTTTTGGCGCTGGCAACAATTTTAAAAAATCACACAAAGGCGGTAACCGTATACTAGGATTTTAGCACAGGAGCTAAGCATATAAGATTTAGCATTCATTGTTCACCTGCATTTAAAATTTTATTGCCCTTCATCTTTGATCTCACCAATAGTCAAGTGATAAAGATGGCTAAATGCTGGTAGTTTAATAAGGGTCTAAACCCTGGCACAGGAGCTAACTGACTGGTCGGTTTTTGATATATGAGTTAGAGTAGATTTTAAGGTACTCCTTATATTATGGCAAAGTTGTCATTTCATTTATGGTAGCCTGAGCAGTTGAATGTTATGAAAACCCTATTGTGACGTAATCGGGTGCATGATTCTGGGAAATTTTGAATCATGAGATGTTTTGTAAGTGCTTTTGTGGTGTGTGTTGGTTTTATTGTTTAGACGGTACAATGGCTGAACATAGTAAGATTAATTTGAAGTTTCTGTACAATTTGGAATGAAAGGGAAAAAGAGTGTTAATTGACTGGTGTGTAAATGAAGGTTCACTTAGTAGCCATTATAAATGTCCTGTACGTAAGAAGGGTATGCGTCTAATCAACCATAAAAACCATTTAGATGGGTTTGAATGGGTTTGTAAGAAGAACAGTTCAGATGTGGTGACGCCGATATACGGATTCGAGTTCAGATAATTTTAGAAAGTTTTTGGATGCTGTTAAGGAATTTTGTGTGCCACAGACTAAAGACAAAGGAACTTCTAAATAGGCTAAGTCGATATTTGCTTTTTGTAGTGCTTAAATGCATAACATTTTTTTCCTTTTTTATGTTATTTTATTGTTTGGTTTAAAATGTAGTTTATTGAGATTATGTATTTTTTGTTTACCTGTATTATAGAATTGAGTGCTCCTTTGACTTTTTAAGTGAAAATATATTGATGTGTACATGGAGAAAGAGAAGGAAGTGCACGATGCAAGTTTGTGCAACTCTTGGATTTTTTAAAGTGAAAATAGGTCAACATGTACATGGATAAAGTCAAGGCAGTGCGCAATGCCATTTTTGTGCATTTCAGGGATTTTTTTAAAGTGAAAATAGGTCGATGTGTACATGGATACCGAGTTTGTGCAATTCTTCATCTTGTTATTTTGGCCTTGTGTAGTGGCGATTTTTGGTGCAAAAATTGCCGTTATGCAAGCCAAAATAATAAGTCAAAGAATTGCACAAAGTCGGTACCCATGTACTGCCAAAAATCACCAAGGGGTACCCTAAAATATACTTTTTACCATATATGTAATGTGAATAATAAATAGACAGTTTCCCTTAGAGCTTTCGGTACTGTTCTGTTATCGGAATCAGATTTAGAAATGTTTGTATGTATGCAAGTATGGTTGGAATGCCGGAATGTTACAAAGTGTTAGAGAGCTATCTATCTAAAGGGGAGGATGCTTTCAGAGGGATTTTCTAAGGCAAATAGGTTTGTATTGAAATTACACGAGGAAAACTGCAAAAACTAATACAGCCGCCAACCTGTTTGCCTGGGATCACACTTCCAGTATTCAGTGGTCTTCACTACTCAATTACTAGCGAGGCAATTTTATCTAAGGTCTTCATATCAAAAAATTTAAAAGAGATTAGAAATGCAAAAATTTATGTACTTATAATAAATGATAGTCTATTATTTACATACTAAAACAAATTTAAACATTAAAAGTTTATAAAAACTATCAGCAATATACCATAAAATAAGTTAACCCAAGAGACTATTAATAATGATTAATCATAAAGCACTTTACTGCACAGTTATGCGAAATATTTTATATTCTTGTAAAGAAAGCTACATATCAAGAAATCTACAGACTAACATTTAAATTATTACAGAAAATTAAGATAATAAAACAGTTTACAAAGCAAGCTAACAAGACAATCAATACAGATTTCAAAGCTGAATAAAAGGTATTTCACATAATGGTTAAACACATACAGTGAAATTATATTAAAGATAGCACATTACTGAATACAAAGAAAATACATACCACTGATTGGCCATTGATTGTACAAATTATACTTCCTGTGCTTTTACAAAGTATACTAGTAGTTCCATCTTGGTTTTCTTGAATTCTAAACATATCTTTTTCTAAGAGAAAGAAATTTTCTTCAGAATTTTACTGAAGACTTTTGAAAACTTTACATATTTGAAAACATATAAAGGATAGCTTTAAAATGCCTCATACGTACAGAAAAGAAATCATCATTTCATTTGTAGCAAGACTTTTATACTTTTGATGTTATCAAGAAAATGCATCAAATGATAATAAATGAGCAATTTTGCACATAAAAAGCAAATAATTACGTTATGAAATCATACTATATTACTGATACTATTACTGTACCTAAGTTCAAATAACCATTAGAATCAATTTTCAGTTATCGAAAGTGAAAACAAATTTAAAATCTACAATACATTTAAAAATCTCAAATTCAAAGTGATCACAAACTTCTTCAAAACACCATTATTATTTCAAAAAGTATATGCTTCAGTGTTTTATCCACTGTCTGAAACCAAACAAGCTGAAATAACGCGTGATACTAAACAAACAGTAAGGATTTCGAATAAGTATACATTGGAAGGAAGAATTTCTTTCATTATCCAAAAAAACAATTACATTTAAACCTGGAACTAGTAGTACGCGTTCGTTACAGTTGTCCAATTCCAAAGATCCGATTTTGTATATAAAACGGAAATGACGTCAAATATATTAACCTAAATTTTTATTGCTACCTTGCATTAGAGAAATGTTATTGTAATAGAATTTTAAGAAATAAGCTCATACATACAGATATAAAATTTAAACAAAAAATATATTTCCAAAATCACAATTAAAAAAAATATTTTTTTTTTTTTTTTAAATTCTATGTCCGCCACAGTTAAGAGTTTGCATTCTATTTAATGATTTAAAAAGTTTCATATTTTTACACTGTCATAAATATAAATATTTATACATTTTTGAAAAGTAAGAAAAACATACTTCTTAGAAATTCAAACAATACATATCTGACGAATTTAACTTAATTATTAATATTCAGAACCGTTTTGCGCTGATGGTCTACAGATTGGATACAGCTACAGTAACGGTGGCTTAAGCAAAGAACCTCTATTCTTTGGCTTAAGTACCCGCAGAAGAAGAGAAAACGAAATTTAGATTGCAATTTTATGAATAAACTAAAGTTTAAAATAAATTACGGAAAAGTTATCTTCGAAAATTGGATTTGATAAGGAAAAAAATACACTAAGCTTTGTATTCTAATCATTGAAGAACGAGCCCTCGGAATATTTAAAATGGAATTTCAAAGACAAAATATTTCACTATATTTTTCATTGAAAACAAAGTACCTTGATATTATGTTCTCACTAATATTAATTAGCAAAACAGTATGCGTATTACAATACGTGTACAATTATTTTTGTGTGACATTTATACGCGAAATAATCGTTATCGTTCAAATATTTGCCTCCTCCCCTCCATAATGGCTGGGTGTAGCCGTCCGACGTTGAATGGTTAGTTGACCCCACCAAGTATAATGACTCCGTGGGTGACCCACATGGGAAATGGCAGATGCCCGTCTAGTTGCGTAGAGATACTTTTTGTAATATCTGCGCATTCCCGACCTGTTATCAGAAAAGGTGACATCAGGGAGGGTGACTTCTTTACCTGGATGAACATGGAATGGCAAGAGAAAGTTATTTTATTATTTTAATTGGTGCTAAGTTGGTAGAGGGCGCATGGTTTTTTGGCGCGGTTTTTAAAATCGCCCACCATATTGAAAAAGGTTCTTTAAACATAGCAAAATATTCTAAACTTTAAAAATATGCGATATGGTTGTAAATAATGTATTAACTTTTCGTTGAAAACATCGTTTTTCAAGATGGCAGCCGAATGTAAATAAATACATTTACTAAGAAATATCAAATATATCAAAGTAAGGTTAAATTATTACTTTTATAGCAAAGAAATGAAATAAAAACACCGCTTTAAAAACATAGCGCCAACGTTTAATAAGATTAAAATAGTACTTGAAATATTTCACAATAGAGTAATTGGTAAAATCCTATTATACGGTACGGCGTTGTCGCGATTTTGAAAACTGTCGCCAACAGCAAAGTGACCCTTTTACTGCTCATCCCGTATATACCAAATACTCACTAGGATTAAACTAAGTAATTTTATATACAAGGTCTTTAATCAGGACGTCCATAATCCGGAATGATCTATAATCCGGATCTCAAAGCTACAAACTTTCTGCGCATGCGTAAACGCACAACGTGTTGAACGCATAATGCAAACGCATAACGAATAATGCGTTTCGCATGCGCATGCGCGTTTATGCCTAATACCTTTACGTATGCGCATGCGCATAACACATTTACTCGTTTAATGTATAACGGACGGTATAACCTAGGCTAAAATTATCTATTTCAGTTAATATTGCAGATTGCGCTGTTCCTTAATCTTCTAACTGGATCCGGCTTATTATTTTTTGCAGACTGTTAGAGCAATTTTATAAAAAGTAAGCTTGAACTTTCGATTATGTCAAAAAGCGTTTCCGATTCTAGAGCTGTCAAAGGATCTACAAAGCGAAAGCACGTTTCCATGTGTTTTCAAACAAAAAGTGGAATTGCTGCAAAAAATGGATAAAGGCATATCCGTCTCAAAATTATGCCAGGAGTATAACATTACAGAGTCAAAAGTATACGACATACCGCTTCCGATAGTGAAGAAAGTCACAGAGAGGTTATTGAAAACGAAAAAAATTCGATTGACAAATCAGTCCGTATTCTCGACACAGCAGTTACAGGACTTGAACAGTGGAACTTTGTAACTGAACAAAAAAATTATGTCTGTTTATAGAATTAAAGAGAAAGTATTAGCACAAAAAATGAAGCAACTTAAACAACTTACATTGAAAGAAATGTTTAATAAAGTAAACAAATAAATATTAAGTTTTTTTTTTGTAAATTTTGATATCCTTTAGATCATAATTGCTTTTTATTTCAGAAATTACGGTTTCATATTTTTAATTGTATAATTTCTGCATGGCATCTTACCAGATTTAAATTGATGATCTATAATCTGGAAAAGCCCCTAATCTGGAATCTCCGAATTCCCGACGAGTCCGGAATAAAGACGTCGTACTGTAATAGTTATTTAAGCATAAAACATCTGTGGCAACAAAAAATAGCTGAGCCATTGCTGAAAATAATGGATTCTTTTACATAAAAAAATTATACATATAAAATTAATAGAAAAATATGTACTTACGATTTTGTCGAGTGTCTAATATCATTTAAGCACACATTGGTAATTACCACGATTAAGAAGTTGGAATCAATTTAGATTTCAATCAAAAACATTTGAATAATGAAAAGGCAAGGCAGGAATAAAAAAAAATTAAAAACTTTATAAATAGATAAAAGAATTTATAGCCAAATTAATGGATCATGAAGATTAAAAAAAAACTCTAAAAAATAAAAAAAAATATTTGCAATAATAGGGGTATTCTTTTTAAGATTCGGAAGCCCAGGGAAAAAGTAATAAATGTACCTTTGCATTTGGAAAGCCATGTTTGCGAAAATAACACAGATCGTATTTTATTCTCGAGTGTCAAGATGTAGAAACATCGGTTTCAAATGAGAATTATTAGATTCTGATACTAATAATTTATGATAATTATCAATAACGACATTCATAAGTTAACTTGAGGAAGCCACTGTTATCTAAATATCGAATAAAATCGAGAGTAAAACAAACCCTAAAACGGATGTGTACGGATAACTGAATAAAATATCTAAAACAGGGCGGTAATGCACAGATATCTTGCAACCAATCAGCGAACCAATAAACTAAATTCAGCGAATCAATGATCATAAATAATAAAATCACTTTAATCAGTGAAGATTTATACATATTAAAACGCAAGCGCGGTACTTACGGAAAATCCCGTCGACCATTTTTGCCTATTAAAGAAAAGACGCCAACTATGTGATTTTTCGCCAAAACTGGAAGTCTTCTTCAAACACGCTGGGTTTGGTGTAACTTTGATTACACGCGTAATCAAGGCCGTAATTTTCGAGAAAATGAAGATATCAGTGGTTTCGCGAAATTTGGTAAGTGAAAAATTTCTGATTTTATTATTATTGCGTGAGGCGAAAGAAAAAGTATTTCGCGAGACTTATATTTTCACACGAAAATTAAAACCTAGCGAAAAATTTGCTTTTACAGTATATCTCCTTAATAAAAAATAATGGAAATTTTTAATGAAAAATGGTACTTACGTACTATGACAACATAGATATCACGCCAAAACTGGTCCCTTGTAGGTTATACAGGTTAACCCTAACGTAGGTTATAGAGGACGCTAAAATAAAGAGTACTATCGCGCACTTGCTATTATCACACCTTTTTTTGTTACATTTACACTGGTTATTAAGTTTAGGTTAATACGTGAAACTTTTTGTGATTATTTTTTTCCCAATGGATATCAACATTTTCCAACTTCCTTCAAATGAAGAAAAAGCGATAGAATTTTTCAGAGAGGCTGGAATTTTACCCAAAAATGCGTTTGTAAAACGGCCATGATTGCCAAGTTTTATAATTCATGATTTTATTGGAGAATGAATGTCAAAAATTGTCAACAAAAGTTTGGTGTCCGAACTGGTACGTGGTTTGAAAACAGTCGTATGAACAGTCGTCCATTAAATGGCGCAAACATCAGTTGTATTTATCCAATAAGACTGTTATTGATTGGGATAATTATATACGTGAAGTGTGTGTGAAGGATTTGGAGGATAACCGAAATAATAAAACTGGAGGGCCCGGAACGATTGTCGAAATTGACGAAAGCCTTTTTACGCGTCGAAAGAATAATGAAGGTCGTATCTTGCGAAGTCTTTGGTGGAACTTGCCGGTTGACAAAAGAAACATTCTAGTCTAGTTCTTTCTAGGAGTTCCAGACCGGAAGGCAACAACATTAATGCATGAAATCCAAACTAATATTGCTGAAGGCTCAACAATAATGTCAGATTCATGGCCTGGATATCAAACAGAGAAGCTCATTGCTGCCGGTTTTGAACATTTTAAGGTGAATCATCGATACAATTTTGTTGATCCAAAGGTAGTCGTCATAGTACGTAAGTTTCTGAAAAATTAAATAAATGATAATATAATAAATTTGAAAGAAAAATAAGAATAGAACGTTTTTTCTTGTATTTAGTAAATGTTTTTTTTTCGGGGGGGTTGGCGCGATTGGCACTGTCTCTTGAGGTCGACCGGATTTTCCTAATGGCCTAAAAATAAAATGACGTCATTGATTACATGATCCACAGCACAAAATTGTTTAATATTTTTAATATTTAATAGCTATAATGATATCTAAAGCACAGAAATTACACATATTAAAACGCATTATTTTAAAAATCGAATGATGTCAAACGTACAGCGCCCAAACTAAAAGTTACCATAAAAATTTGATCCAGCAATGTGTTGCCATAATTCGTATCGATCATCATCTACCGACAAACTTTTTTTTTTTTTTCACGAAAAAAAACCGTGCACCCGTCTACCAAAGTAGCACCTTTTGTTTAATGGCCAG